TTATCAACATTGGGTGTACACTACCAAGAAGAGGATTCCATTCAGATTTTTCAACTTTATTGGGAACCATGATGACTTCCTTGCAACTGTGGCTAGTGTGTGGGAGATGGATGTTCAAGGTACTCCTACGTTCTAGGTGGTTAGGAAGCTAAAAATTCTTAAACACAAGCTGAAGGCTTTAAACAGAAAGCATCACAGTGAGATTTCCATTAAAGTTGTTGAAGCTAGAGAGAATCTCAATACTTGCCAAGTTCTTCTTGATGTTAATCCTACAAATGTGCAACTTAGGACTGATGAAAATGCTCTCTTTCAAAAGTTTCATGACCTTTCACTGGCTGAAGAACAATTCTTCGTGCAGAAATCTAGGATTAAATGGCTTGAGGAGGGGGATAAAAACACAAGTTACTTTATGAAATCATTCAATGCCAGGTGCAATAGGAAGAAGATTATAAAGCTACAATTGGCAAATGGGGAAACCAATGAGTCTCTTCCAGCTATCAAGAGTAAGGCTGTTAACCATTTCCAAAATATTCTTGGAGGCCAAACCCACACTTATCTTGGTATTGACAATCTCAGAGAGGTGTTTAACAAGGTTTTACCTACAAATATCATTGATAATCTCACTGGTATTCCTTCCCTTGAGGAAATTAGAGAGTGTTTTTTTGCTCTAAGTAATATAAAAGCTCCTGGTCCTGATAGGTATAATGCCCACTTCTTCAAGAAGACCTGGTCTGTGATTGGCAATGACATTTCCTTAGCTATCAGAGATTTTTTTGTGAATGGGCAACTCCTAAGAGACATCAACTCTACTTGTATCACTTTGGTGCCCAAGATTCCTAACCCAACATCCATGCAGACTTTAGACCAATCTCTTGTTGTAACACCATATATAAAGTCATCTCAAAAATTATTGCAGAAAAGTTACAGCTTATTCTTCCCCACATTGTTGGTAAATACCAAACAACTTTTATAAAGCATAGGAAGATTGGAGATGGAGTTTTTATTGTCCAGGAACTCATGAAAGGGTACAACTCCAATACCTCTACTCCTAGGTGTACTCTTAAGATTAACCTTCATAAGGCTTATGACACTGTTTGTTGGGAGTTCTTAATTGATTGCCTAAGGATTTTATGTTTTCCACCAAATTTCATTCAGTGGGTTTATGCCTGCATCACTTCCACTGCTTTCTCAGTTTCCATCAATGCGGAACTTGAGGGTTTCTTCAAAGGTTTTAAGGGCCTTAGACAAGGGGATCCACTATCACCCTTCCTCTTTGTGATTGTGATGGATGTCCTCTCATCTATTATCAACAAAGCCATTGCTGAAGACCCCCAATTCAAGTACCATTGGAGATGTAAAAGTAATAAGATTTCTCACTTATGTTTTGCTGATGATCTTATGTTTTTCTGTAATGGAGACCCACACTCCCTTGAGATTCTACTTAATAGTATTCATAAGTTCTCTAGCCTATCTGGCCTTAAGCCTAACCTGAACAAGAGCAACATTTTTACAGCTGGCATTCCTTTGGAGACAGTGAGTGGTATGATCATAGCTTCTGGGTTCGAGATTGGGCACTTCCCTTTTAGATATCTTAGTGTTCCCCTCTCTGCATCTAGGTTTCTTGCAAATGATTGTATCTTGGTTGAGAAGATCACTTCTAGAATCTCTAGCTGGACCTCCAGATTTCTTTCTTATGCAGGAAGATTATAACTTATTCGATCAATTCTCATCAACATCCATGCCTATTGGGGCAACATTTTTGTGCTTCCTCTTCAGGTGACTAAGCAAATCAATTATGTTTTAAAGAACTTCCTTTGGACTGGCTAAGAGATAAAGGACATTGGAGCAAAGATTAACTGGTATGCAGTGTGCAAGCCTAAAAACTATGGTGGTCTTGGCCTTCCTAACATTGCTGCCCTTAATAGGATCTCAATTCTCAAGCACATTTGGAATCTGTTTTGTGATAATGGCCAATCCCTCTGGTATGATTGGGTTTTCTCTAACTTAATCAAGGATGGTAGCTTTTGGAAGATTAAGGCTAGCCAACTTAGCTCTTGTAACTGGAGAAGGTTGCTCAAGCTTAGGGGCATGGCTAGGCCTTTTATCAAACACCATGTAGGGGATGGCATGGACACTTCCCTATGGTTTGATTAATGGCTCCCCTCAGGACCTATTGAGAATAGAGTGGATTTTGCAACCATCTCTAATCACCTTTGGGATATTAAATCCAAGGTCAGCTGTTTGATCAGGCATGGACAATGGAGAATCCCAAACCACTTCAGGAATATTATTGGTGCTAATTAAACCATTCCCCCTATTAATGGTGGCAACAAGGATAGGACAGTGTGGACTCTCTCTCCTACAGGGGGGTTCAGTTTGAAGCACACCTACAATGCCTTCATACCACCAGCTCCTCTCTCTAGGTGGAACCATATTATCTGATTTCCCAAACATATCCCTAGGCATGCCTTCATTACATGGCTTGCTTTAAACTGCAGACTCTATACTAGAGATAGGTCCTTCTGGTTGACATCGGATAACCATAACCTCTGCTCTCTCTGTATGGAAGAGATGGAGACCCATGAACCCTTATTCTTTAAATGTAGGTTTTCCTCCTCTATTTGGGATTATGTTCAGCACAAGTGTGGTGTGTATTGTGGTGATCGAAGCTTCCTCTTCATTGGGCAATGGATTGGAACAGTTTGGAATGCTAAATGTAAATCGATTAAGGCCATCACAGTCAAATTATGTTTCTCTGCTACAATATATTTTATATGGAAAGAAAGGAACAATCGTACCTGTGTTGGGGCTCAAAAACCCCCTCAAGCTATTTGGAAGATCATCGAGGACTGTATTCGTTCTCGTCTCCTCTCTATCAAGGCTAAGGACTCCACCAGCTCGAGAGTTGTCGCTACCGAATGGGGAATCCCTAGTCTGATCAATGGCGATGAGGTTTCATCTGAGTGATGTTGATCTCTTGTTGTCTTCCTTCTCTGTTTTGATCTTTTGTTCATGAGCGTGAGAGAGGGAAGATGTTTCTTTGGTTGGCTTCAGGCTGCTTGGGCTGGGCCTGTTTTTGCTTTGTTGCCTTCGGGCTGTTTTTGCCTTCTTGGGCTTGTTGGGTAGCCCTGTACATCTTTCTTTTTGGTTATATATACTGACATAACCAAAAAAAAATACTAATAAAAAATAAAAAATAAAAATATGCTGTGATCCTTCTAAAGGGAGGAGTATATCCAGGGGGAGACTACAACCGCTGGAATAAGACCTTTCTTCTTCACAACTTGAAGAATGAGTCTGCCAAATTTAGTGCTTGTAAAGGAGTTTATGTTGGGAAAAGGCATATTTGGTTACGTAAACACGTGAGGTCCATTGTTTTCACTTTTGGGTTTATGGGTTTTCTTTTTCTTTTCGATTATATTCCCTTTTGTTCTCCATTTTGGATCCCCACTATTCTGCACAATGGTTCAACTCCTGTAATATCAACTGCTACAGAGGTTTGACTTCTTTTTCTTTGTCTTTTTTGTATATTGTTCTTAGGGATGCATTTTCATATGCTGCTGTTCTCAATTAAATTTTAGATTATCGTCCTATTGAACTCTAAACTTCAAAGTGGGATTGGCCAGAATGTACTGGCATTTCCCTAGGCATTGAATGATTATGTTGAAAACATGAAAATTTAAAACAAATGAACTTGAGTAAATTCTTTGACTATTGCTTCATAATAAGATAGGAGCTTGTAAAATTGATGGTAGTTGTAGGGAGTGTTCTTGGAATTCGGTAGAGAAGGCCATTGATGGTAATTGTAGGGAGTGTTCTTGTGATTGGTTAAGTTCTTAAACAAGGATTGGCGGCCATAAGGATTTTTGTTGGGGGACTAAGAAAGGACTTAAGTGGTAATACTTGAGCAGCATTTGTGGTCTGACAAGGAAGTCCTTGAATAGAAGAACTTGGATTCTGATTATGGTGATCTGACAAACTCTACTGAACAGTTTTGTTCAACCTAGGATTTTACTCATCAAATAGTTGTTAATTATTTATTATAAATTTTAAGTATTTTTTTCTCAAATAATACCACTGCTTGTGTTCCCGAAGGAGAGGAAAACAACTTCAATTAATGAAGGAAAATCGGCAGTACAGATGTATGATCGCCTACTGAATCTGGCTTCAAGTGCTCTTGCACGGGTTTGATTCTCGACCTGGTTTAATGTGCATCACACGCACATTATATGCACAAAATCATGAAGAGCGTATGATTTAGGCATATTTAGTTTGTTTGACTTGTTCTTTTTTATTAATTTAATTATTGTACCTCTCTGAAACCTTAATGGTGCAAAAAGAATTTAAGCAAGATGCATCAAAATTCTGGGAGGAACCATATCCTCAAGCGTCTATGTGGAAACCTTGGGCAGATAAAAAGAGTTCAACAAATATAGGTACTCTTCAGTTATATATGATTGATCCTTGGTTCTTGCATGTAACATTGATATGTTTGCATTAAAACAGGATGTAGTGTTGTGAAACTTAAGCTTCAGCTTTCCCCAACTACTAAATTTCTGTTTTCTATTTCTGTTGAAATAGTAGTGCATCTCTTTAATTTGATGCTGGATCAAATTAAAATAAATAGAAATGGTTCATCTGTGATTTCCTGATATATTAAAATTAACTTAAAATTCCATTTACCGGAAAAACAACACCTTACATTCGAGTTTGAGCTGTCGTAGTTTTAAAGCAAGTATTTTCAGTGATTGTGTTGGTCCTGCATGCATCGATTTCAAGGTCCTTCCTTCAGTTACCATTATTTGTTAGTGTTTAGAGCAATACATCAAGGAGCGTTGATTTAGGCGAACAATATGTTAGAAACTAAAATAGAAAAGTCATTTGAACGGTGGTATATTAAATACAAACATTATAAATTCAAACTCGGAGAGAGTAAATTTATTTTGTTTTTAGAGGTACGAATGAAACTCAAAAAGTTGGAATAAAGGATTGTTAAGTTTAATGAAACATATTTTTAGCTAAAAGTATAGTAGAAATGTAAACCACTCAAGCAAACACTGTCATTGCTTCAACTATACTAGTGATCACATCAGATTGCTTGCAAAAAAAAAATTGATCCAAATTTTTGGGTAACCTATAACGCCAAATATTGGGTTCGGTATGAGGGTGCAGACAATGTGCCACTGCAAAAGCTTTACAGATTCTATGTTCTAATAAACTTTCAATGAGGGATGCAAGTAATTGTGGATTGCTTCAAGCTTAACAACGTGCGATAAAATATATTACCTGAACTTGGGTACGTGTATATTCATGCATCGGATATGCCAAATCCCCAAACAAGCCACATGGATATTACTAAATATTAATATAATTTTATAACTTATTTTAGTTTCTAAAGTAAAACAATGTCATTATGTAACACAGTGTCTTATATAATCAATTCATTTATTTTGAAGCAATAATATGATAACAATGAATTATTGCATCTGTTTTTTAGGCACATGTCCAACCAAAGGTTTCGGATACACATACCCATGTCCGAGTATTGTGTGTCCAACATGAGTACCTTACCTACTTTTGAAGAATCCGGGTAACATAGGTGATAACCATACTACATGATCTTGGGGTTGAGAAGTCAAATTCGAATGAACCTTCTTTTTTTGTTTCCCTGGGTGAATTCAACTCAATAAATCCCCTAGTTTTCAACCTTTGATGCATACAGCCCAACTGTGAAGTCTGTCATGCAAAAGCATGCTGCAAAAGGTACAGTGTTCCATGTGGCAAACTATTTTCATTAATTAAATAAAATTTCATTACATTCCTCCACGAAGCCGCTGCCATGTTTCATTGACGTAGAGCATGAACTTGAGGATTACCAATGCAAAACACACCCTGCCTTGGGCTCAGGATAGCTTTAAGAAGTAAATGTTTCTTGGGGGTAAGATGGAGCGGAGGTTCCCTATCCAGAGCTTGCCCCATTGCGATCCATACTTTCTAATAGATGGTGAAGTTTTGGTGTGCAGGCTTTGAGGAGTCATTAATCTTGACAAAATGACCTTGCATGCTAATTAACAACCTTTTTTGCTAAGTAACCGGGATCATTAAGCATTGAATTCTAGCATCAAAAAGGCGAAGGGTCCAGATAAAGTAATGAATGCTCTCACCAACAGAGGTGAAGAGTTAGGAAATGAGAAGTGAGAGTTGTCTTAATTTGTAACCTAGTTGATTTGAGCTATTAAGTCATTAGGAGTGTCTTCACACCTAATGCCCTAAAGCTGTCCGGTTTGAGAGCTATTGATCCAACGTTCGTTACATAAGTCTTCTAGAGAACTTAAGAGATCTTTACATTACACTATGCTTTCATTTTCGATTCCATTCAAAAAAAAAAAAATTGAATAAAAAGTTCATTTATAGTTTTGATGATTGGTATTTGAGATGTGTGTTAGTTTGAGGCCGGATTGTGATCTTTACATTGACTATGCTAAGATAACAACATATGTATATGTCGGTTCACTAAAAAATGATGCTAGAATTGATTTTGATAGCCATGGTTGACTTGCTTGATGTGTGGGGACCATATTTGCTTCTATGATGTTGAAATATTGAGAATAGCTTAGAAATGGCTGAAATTTACATACTTGAGGTAGTCTTTTCTTGATAATTGTGGAAATATGCTTTAATGCTTCTTTAGTGAAGATGAACCTTTGATGTTTATGAGTATCATTTCTGAAAACCCTCACATGAGTCCACTCATCCTCTAGGGATAACCTAGGGGTAAAAGGCTTATTGCATATGCTAAATGCAACCGTGATCCTTACGAAAATAGCACTATATTTTTATTATTTTTATTTAGTTGGTTATTGCATTTATTTTATTTTCTTTACTCATTGCCGACTAGCAATATTTAAGTTTGGGGGTGTGATAAGTGTTGAAATATGTACATTTCAACCCTTAACCTTGGATATATTAGAACCTTGATCTATCTTTATTTTTCCGTTTTAGTCTTAATTTGTTTTACTTTCGATTTCAGGTTCATAAGGCTTAAACGAGCTAAATCTAATGCCTTGAAGCCCTTGGGAAGGTCAAACAGAGTCTTGGCGAGGAATGGGAGCAAAAGAACGCTGAAGTGCATAATTCATTGTTCAGCTCAATCGACCGAGCACTATTTGAGGCTCAATCGATCGAGCCTTAAACTCAATCAATCGAGCCTTAAGCTCGAACAATCGAGTTCAACGCAGAAGCTATACAAAATCAGATCTGAAGCTCTTTTCGAACCAACGTCAGCTGGGCATCAAATGTAAGATCCTTGGGCCAAGTTCTAACCATCCTAGAACCACAAATCTGAGCATATGTAGAGGATGAAGCCTCCTTTGGAGGAGGATGCGGATTAGAGTTGATGAGAGGCCAACTTTTGAAGACTTTGTCTCTTTAGAAACCCTCTCTCAACCATTGAAGATCTTGGGTTGTGCTTGGAGATGGAGACTGGAGTTTTAATGTTCATCTTTGTCATCTCTATAGCTAGCGATTTCTTCTCTTAGGGCTTGGATGAAGCCCTAAGCCGAGTATTGTATTATTTGTCTTCAATTTGGGGTTTAATTGTGTAAATTGTTTAACCTTGCGAATTATAGTTGGTTGTACCAAGATTAGTTGTGTGTTTAATTGTTCAATTAATCTCCTTATCATCTTTACATTGTCTTATGCATTGATTGTGGTTTATTGATCTCAACATCTTCACTACTTGTAGTTGTATGGTTAATGGTTAAACAATGGTGCTTAATTGATGTATTTGCACTTGATTTGATAGTTCATACTTAGATTTGATGGGTTGAGCTACAACACTAGTGTAGAAGTAGGCAGGTAGACAATTCATGCTTAGCTTTGATGAGTTATGCTTATTGATGCAATTTACATATTCTCTTAACCATGATTGTGTGCTTATAGCCACAATTCTGTAATTGCACAATTATTTTCCCCAATTTGATTACAATGGTACAATTACATGGCCAAAGGTGAAGTCTATGACCTAAGTATCTCTATCTCCATTCCGTTATCCATTTATCTTTTCTTTTATTTGCATTTGTTATTTTGTTTAGTTTAATTAGAATTTTAAACATACTATCTTTTCTATTAAATTAATTATTCACTAATTATAAAATGAATCAAGCCATTGGTCCCTGTAAAATTGACTTTCCAAAACTTCCAAAACCACATTCATATTGACCTTGTGAATCGACCTCTCGCAAAGGCCAGGCAGTCATAGTAGATTTACACAAAAAATTTAGACTACTCATCTTTAGCTCCAGCTATTATTTTATATCGTTTGTGTAAAAATGTATCCGCCAATAATAATCAATCACGTGTCATGCCAGGACCCACATAAATTTTACAAACCTACTTAATATATGGTTGATTCGTTAATGGAATGAAAAAGAGGGAGGAGAAAGAAAATATACTAATGTGACAGTGTAAAATGGTCGTGTAAAATATATACAACCATTTGACACATTAGTGACGTGGCAGTTGGAGATAAAAATAATTTTCACATAATACGTGGCAGTTTATATTTTATACAAAAGGATGTTTTAATAGACTGCTGGAGATGCTCTAATAGATTTCACTTGACAGGGCCTCCACCAACCGCGGCTATAGATAAATTCATCCATCTCTTCTTCTCCGGTGAATTCCAGAAAGTTATAGAAGTTTCGTTAGAACGACGGCTCTGTGAATGGCTTATGTCTATAGAAGAAGGTGGGCTGGGCTTGGAATAAATAACAGAGACTAAGATTTTATTATTGGGCCCCGTAAAACCTCTCTCTTCAAATTGCTATGTGGGCTAGGCTTGTTTTGAAAGGAAACAGGCCCCCGTTGAGCAGCCCTCTTAATCTCCTGTGGGCCGTGATGAACAAGCGGCCCACTTGTTATGTTAAGCCCATAGACCTTTGTAGATCCACGCTTAGGCCCAAAAGAATCCACAACATAAGAATCATCTTTAATGCCACGATCGTGGCCACGTGGTTGGTATCTGTTAGCACGATATTACGAGGGAACGGAAGGCGATGACTGAGGGCATGATTGACTTTGTCTCGTCTACGCGCTTCTGGCGCATGAGAAGGCAGTCGTCTCTTACCTTCGAGGCCATGGTGGTTCTGTGGTTTTCGGCGACTGCATTCAGTTGCAGCCAGGATGTGTGGGCTCTCCCCTAGACCATAGTAGGATTTCGGAAGGATGCGAGGTGTGATTTCCTCTATCAGATTAACCCTGAAAGCCACACATTGGTCCTCAACAAAAACATACTCAGGTATCACTTTTTCGACGGAAACATAGAGGAGGATTCTCTGTCTATTCGCTGAAACGTCTACCTCGACACCTAGAAATCCACCACATAAGTTCCCAATTGCTTCAAATAGCTTGTTACACCATAGATGGAGGGGTTAACCAAACAGGATCACCCTTCGTATTATTCTCTCTTTTACAGCAGAACAACCAGCCGCGAAGTACCAAATGTTTGGATAATAAAGCTTCGCCCCATCTCTTCCTCCCTTCATCCAAAACCCTTAAGGCCTCAGCTTCCGATGGAAACCGGAATAAAAGCAGATCATTGGGCAGAGGAGAAACTTTCACCCCACTTGATACCTTCCAGTTTTCGACGCCCACGCTTCAATCCCGTCAATACTCCCTACGTCTCTATCAAAGCAACCTACTAGACATGATCGCAAGGTAAATTCTCGCTCCTTGATGATTTGATGATCAACCCTAAAAACCAGATCGTTTCCTATAGAGCAGTTTTTGATTTCTCCATGAAGGTTGAGACGTGGTAAAGTCGCAACACTGAGATAGGATCGATGCATATCACGGTTCCCTACTAACCTATTCGCCCCCTCTAGGTCAAGATTGCCCCCTTGCGCTAACTCTACATTAGAGTCTAGGATTACGGTCCTTAGATTTCACCTATACTAATAGCCAGACAGCATGAGACTACAGCCTTAGACAGACAGCATGAGACTACAGCCTTAGACAGACTAGATGGCGAATCAGATTTGCATTGAATCTTGCCCTAAAAGAAAAAAGTCATTTATTTTCAACATATGTAAAATTATAATATTAAGTGTTATCACTATTTTCGGCTCCCATATCTCAATGCAACAAAGTCAGTTACATATCTTTCATGCTATAAATTGTCCCATCAATGCATATTTCATACATGTATCTAATGAGTGTGTATATGACACAAGATGCCTCACACTTTTTTGCTACTAAATATCATGCTCATGGGTAATAAGTCCGAACCTACCTAATGACATGATTTTGTTACACGATATTTTAAGTTCATTTGACCTAAACACTGTTAAATATATATTTTACAATACAAATAAAGATGCAGCCTATGTATTATGGTCCTTCTCTTTGTATTATTAATTTATTATCTTATTTTAATTTATGATGGTTTGTATGCCAATTATAAGTTTTAATTATAAGTTTTAACGTTATATTATACCTGTTCATTCGATGAATACATTGACTTGCCACACTTGCAAACCATCGAGTGCCCCAAAGCCTTGAAACACTCGAACGATCTAACTCTTCAAACACAGTCCATCGAGCACCCCAAAGCTACGAAACACTCGAACAATCTAATTCTTCAAACACAGTCCATCGAGCGCGTCCCGGAGCCTCAATCTGACTCCCACAACCTGGACATCGACAGCCCCAAAGCCTCGAATGTGCCAACGTCATTCAGTTGATCAAGCGCCCCAGAGCCTCGATCCGACTCCTGCAACCTAGACATCAATAGCCCCAAAGCCTCGAATGTGACAAGGTCATGCAATCGATCGAGCGCCCTAGAGCCTCGATTCGACTCCCACAACCTGGACATCGACTGCCCAGAGCCTCGAATGTGCCAAGGTCATTCGGTGAGCGCCACAGAGCCTCAATCCGACTCCCACAACATGGACATCAAACGCCCAAAGCCTCGAATGTGCCAAGGTCATTTAGTCGATCAGCTAATCAAAGGACCCAAAGCCTTGATCTTACTCCCACAACCTGGTCATCGAGCAAACCAAAGTCTCGAATGAACTAAATCACAATAGCCGATCGAAGGACCTAGAGCCTCGATCAGCAAAACGTTGGGACACTTTTCATCATCAGATCCCTCAACGTTAGGAATCTCAAAAGATTCCTCTTCTGGCTTATACAATCACAAAATATCATTTTATGCATGACTAACCTTCTAATTTATACGAAGCTCACCCGCGTAGGGGGACTACCTACTGTAGGTACCTGTATATTTGTGGTCCACATAGCAACATCAACAAATGGCCCACAAACTTGACCAGAGCCTCAAATCAGACTTGAAATCATCGAGCGACCTAGAGCCTCGAATGAACTATCATAACAGTCAATAGAGTGACCCAGAGCATGACCAAACTTCACCAATGAAGTCATCGAGTGACCTAAAGCCTCAAATGAACCAAGTCCTACTAGTGTTTTTTTTTTTTTAATTCAAGTCCTAATAGTTTATCGAGTAACCTGGCACAACACGCTTCATTCTTGTTGCAGTGTCTCGAGCCTTTCATTTGGCGTGCTCTTACCCTCGATATGCCTTTTTCAGAGATGCCCCACTATAGAAGGTCCCACATAGGGATGCGTCGTACGTAGGTTTCCTCCAAGAAAACTTCTACGAGATGTCTCACCACCTCGACGAGCTCTTAGCCTTGAGTCCTGCCTCGACGAGCACTTCGGTCAAGTCACGCATGATATCTCATTGCTAATTTTTTGTTGAGAAATCTCCACGAGATGACCCTTTCTGAGATACCTCATCTAGGGACACCTCGTTGCTTAAACTTTTTCTCATAAATCTTTTTCCTTTAGGAATCTTGAAAGATTCCTCCTTTGCTTATAAAAGCACAAAACATCATTTTATGCCAAACTAACCTTCTACTTTCTACGAAGCACACTCGCACAGGAGGACTAAATGTGGGTGTCAATATGCTCGAGTCCACTTGGCAAATGCCACATCATCAACAATGGCCTACATAACTTGGTCAAACGGTTAACGACTACGCCACAACAGCAACAATGGCCCACATTTGATGATTAACGATCAAAGTTACTACATCATCAACATATCTCGAACAGAAGATCAAAGACCTTAGTTAGGAGCAGGACTTAGAATTACCTGGGATTCGAGGAAGTACTTGGTTTGGTTGCTGAAGCCCAGGGTCCGTCGAGTTGACCAGACTTGTAGAGAGAGAAATACCATTTTGACTCGCGTACAAATTAACCCCATCTTAATTAACATTGCTTCTTAATTATTTGAGAAATTAATCTCTTTTCATTATTGTATTAATGGACCACACGTGATGTCATCAATGACATCACCCACTCTAACTTGACTTATAAAAGGAGATGACCTAAGGCCAAGGAAAATAGGCAGAACCATATGACAAGATGGAGCTTTAGACATAGAAAGCTCTTATGCTCTCACACCCATATTTTCCCTACACTTCACACCTTCACCAAGGGAGTTAATGGTGTTTTTGAACACTGTCATCCTATTATGTTTTATCTGATGCCTCACCATTGGTTATTTTATGTTTGACAAATTGACAGTGAACCTAGTACCTACAAATAGTAACAAACCTAAGTGTGGTTTAGAATAAATGGAATTGTAGAATTTGTAATATCTAGCTAGTCAATGTATTTGATCTGCTTAGACTAAGTTTCGTGATTTTTCCCTGCTGGAGTTTTCGAAAAATCTTGTGTTCATTCTCTATCCTTAATGGGATTCATATTGTGGCATTTCAAATATAATTGTGATAATTTTAAATTCAGTTATTGTTAGTTAAAATTGAACAAGATCTAGTCACCCCCTTAAGATTTATTTGAAGCATTGTGCCTACTCTCGATTTATTTAAGCATTGTGCCTACTCTCGATTTATTTTAAGCATTGTGCCTACTCTCTACAATAGAGCCTAGGGTTTCCGGTCCTGTACTTCACTACTACATTTTTTTCTTTTTTCTTTTTTTGATAAATAATAACTTTGATACTTCTCATATCCTATTCTTAAATAATTTTAGTTTCTCCCTCTGAAATTCCACCACCTAGTTCTTGGATTTGTAATTCTATTTCTCGTATACACTAAAACTAGTATCCTATGCTGTGATGTCAAAATTTCTCCTAGGGTAACTTTACAATCTTTGCATGTTAAATTGGTCTGCCTTTTAAATTAGAAAGAAGTTGAATTCACTCATATTTAATCCACTTTTAAAGGTCATTAAGCGTTAATCTCTATTTTTAAAATATGTATTCTTTAGTTAAAATATGCTTACCAATTGAAGGTGTTCTAAAAACTGCAAGAGCAGTTGTATCATTAACCCAGCGAATCACAACTCCGCGATCTTGGAAACTTTTCAAGAGCTTTTCCAGGTCAATTGTCCACGTACTTGGTGGTAAGTCATCCAGAGCAAGAACATGAACTGTACCATATTTTGCTGAAATCACAAAGACAAAATTCCAGATCTTGGTTACTATTTGACCAATAGCTCATGCAAAAACTTGGCTTAGTTGATAGGACATTCGGAAAAAAAAATTAATGGGAAAATTTCCAACATTATTCCAGATCGTGCATCACCCATACATTACAAATTGCAAGATTATAAAATGAGATAGTTAACAAACAGGTTGAAGTTGAAAAAACCGTTCTTGCCTAGCAAAAGAAAAGAGGGGAACAGGAGGGTGAGGAGGAGGGTCTCTATCCTTATTTAAGAGTCTAATCTTAAAACATAACTTAATTATCAGTGATAGTTGCATCTATCGCGATGATGTCCAACAATTAGTACAACCTTTATTATGCTTACTATTTCTTTCTTATCTGTTTATTATTTTTTTCTTTTTGTACTTAAAAGAAAATCATTATGAAAGTTCATATTAGACACATACACACACCTTGAATTATTCTACATGAGCTAGGATCATTGATTCCTTTTACTCAATTCAGACAAGAAGAATGCTAAGGACAGTCGCTAAAGCGACTGCCCATTCATAGTCGTTGTTCTCATTGGTTCTAAGAGTTGTTATTAATGCATTCATTAATTGCAAGTTTCCTACTTTTATGGAATGTTAAAACTACTTTTTTTTGGTACAAAACAGCCCTTTTAAGCCTTTCATCCGTCTCCTTAGTTCTCACTTGATGGCATTTACATATATAAATTGTGTGTGTGTGTGTATATATATATATATATATATATGAAGCGTTACCTTCTTTTTTTTCTTCCCTTGTTAGATCCGTATGTGTTACTTTCCTTTAAATATATATATATATATTATAATAAATGCAATCCTCATCTCTTGAACCATGAATTCATAAGGAGAAAATATTTATATAAATATATATATATATATACAAAGGTTAAAAGACAATTAAAAATAAAAAAGAAGAAAGAATCCACTCACAAATTGTTAGTGATTTATATATATATATATATAAACAAACCCATAGGTGAATGGAGGGAAGAATGGGAAAAAGGTAAATGAAAGAGATAAGGGTAGTTTTGTCCACAAAAATATATATTTTAATATCTCATAAAAATAGGAAATATCTAATTAATGAAGGCATTAGTTATAATTATACTCACCAATAAGAACAACGACTGTGAATGAATGGGCAGTCGCCTTGGCAACTGTCCTTAGCATTTCTCTTCTGACAATTTGCATAAAATGTTTTATGAAGGGTTGTTAGACACTCAAATCAGTTCCATCATCAAATCAAAATCTCTAGATGAGCGACTTTTTTTTACAGTGAGCAGTGTGAGCTACTCGAATTTGCATTCAGTTGCAATAATTGTCCAAAAAATAAATAATGAGTAAATGTGGGAAATTCAAATAACATAATAAGACATAGCAATTCTTACTGAAGTACATCTTACAAAATGACAAATGTATCCGCTCCATCACAGAGAATATGCAATTTCAGATTCTAGCATGACTTTGTAATTTAAATCATGAATTTATTAAATTCTCCAAATGCCTTTCATATCAAAAGAGGTAAACATCCAGAATTACTTCATGCAGCTCAATTTGTGCTTATAGCAAACTTACAAGTTTATTTATTATAAATCATAACAATAATAATATATTATTGATAATTATAGCAAAATAAAAAATGATATATATAAAAACTAAGACGTAAAAATGTCAAATAGACACTTGATAGAAAAACCAACTTTTTCTTTCTAGAATGGTCTAGTATTCCACTCTTGCCTATAGGTTTAATTTGATCTTTCACTCTTTAACGGTCAACTCAATCTTAACCATAACTACCACCAAGAATGGTATATCTTAATCATGTAGGAAAAGATTGCTTGTGTTGTATATAAGGAAAGGTAACCTAGGAAATGGTCAAATAAAATGTGTGGGCATTTAAGCCATCTAACAGAAATTCAATCCTCACGCATATTATTTGCATTCGGTGCAGATGAACTTAACCAGCATTTAGTGAAAAGATATTTTTTCTGTGCAGTATTGTAGTAATAATATGTCCATAAAAAACAGTAAAACTTCTTCACAGGTGAATGAAAGTTGTCTGGCCCACACCCCACCCACCCCCCCCCAAACAACATTTTCAAATTGAAGTAACTGTATGAAAGGAAACTGACAATTTCAACTGTGAGAGGATTAAATCACTCCAATATAATAACATTTCACACCTTTATATCACATCAGTATTTCCTATAAAATGCCAAGTTCAACAAAAGGGTCAAGTCAATGAGAAGAGAAAAAATAAATAAATAAATAAAAACTGAACTACCAACACACTTTCAGGAGTAAAAGCTTGAAGTGAAGCACAGCAATACGCATGAATAACGTACCTTTTCTAATTTCTGTGTCTCCTTCATAACTATGGCACAAAATTCCATTTTCTCAGTCATCAACATTAGACTCATCAGTCTGCTGGTCACTATACAAGCCATGTTTCCTATATGAGAATGTTCCCCTTCCACGCCTTTTATGTGTTTTAACTTTGGTCTCCTCCAGTGAGAGTTTTGAAACTCCTGGCAAGCATTCAGGAGGAAGTAATTCATCTGGAGCACGAACAGCGATAGCTTCCCAATCTGCAGTCGTCCATAGCATCATTTGAATAAAATCATAAATAATATTAGTTAAATATGATCCGCGACATTATTTCAGGGAAAATAAACTGAGATTAGAATGGCAATGTAATTGATGTCCACACAATGAAGCATAGCATGTAAGCATCTCACTAAGGAGCCAAGAGCTGAACTGTCACTACTCACTTTATACCTAACTTACGTTAAAACTAAACTCACGTGATTCGAAACAGTCAAAATTACAAAGCATCGTCCTTGGCAAAGGTTAGTCTCATGTCGGTATGGGGAAGACATTGGCGGTTGGTCTACCCGTCCGGTTTCTCTTGTGGGAGGAATTGGGGTGTGGAAATCCATTCGGAAAGGATGGGATGCCTTTTCTTCTCATACCAGATTCAAAGTTTGTGACGGCAGTTGTGTTCGTTTTTGGGAGGATCTTTAGTGTGGTGATTAGCCATTATTTCGTAAATTTCCCATATTATACAGTATTGCAGTTGATAAACATGCCTACGTAGCTGACTGTTATCGGCTTGATAGTAGTGGAATTACGTGGGACGTGCATTTTCGATGTTCATTTCAGGATTAGGAGTTGGATGAGGTAAGTGTGTTCCTGGATCTATTGTATCGACAACAAGGAGTTGGCAAGGGTTTTGACAATTTGACATGAATTCCCTCTTCTCATGGTCGTTTTGAAGTAAGATCTTTGTTCTTTTGCCTATCTAATTTTGATAGCCTTGACTTCCCGTGGAAAACCATTTGGCGTTCTATGGCTCAAACTAGGGTGGCATTCTTTGTATGGACCGTTGTTTGGGGTAAGATATTGACGATTGATGGAAGAGGGGAAATTGTTTTGTTAACTGGTGTTGCCTTTGCAAGCAAGACGGGGAGTCAGTTGATCATCTCCTAATGCATTGCCCCGTGGTGCACGACTGTTGGAATCTTATTCTTGGGTTGTTTGGTATGTGTTGAGTAATGCCACGTTCTTCTAAGGATTTGATTTATGCTTGGAGAGGATGTCGTGTGAGTAAGGATGTACGCGATTATTGGAGAATTGTCCCACATTGCGTTTGGTGGTGCATCTGGAAGGAGAGAAATAGTAGAATGTTCAAAGGGAATGAGTCGTCTACGGCGACGCTGAAACTTTTTATTATTCGTTCTCTCTTGAGTTATGTGAAGAGGAGTTCTTGGCATCTTGCTCCTCTTCTGATGATTTAATTTCTTTTTTGGATTCTTTGGGGCCTTAGCCCTCAGTTCCACTATTGTTTAAGGGACGTGTTCCCCTCTTGAACGGCTTTTTTAATTCATTATTACATATCAAAAAAAAAAAAATTACAAAAAAAGTGGTTCTTATATATATAACAGATTCATGGAGAAGTCTCAACATCATATATGCAAATATAACAATTTCAAAAGCAGGTATAAACTCTGAGGAATCTTGTGGAACTATTTTGAGTTAAGTAGTTGACTTAATCATGTCATGTACAATGAAGACCAATGATGTCACCAGTAACAACTAATAGGTGATAAAGTTCAAGGTCTAGGTGCTAAAAGAATCCATGGAAGACCAAGAAGACCAAATGGTTATTGGATATATCAAGACACACAATACCTATGATCAGCAATATATGTGACCTAAATAGAACTAAACATGACTAAACGCATGATATTTCCACATATAAAATAGACATGTGGAAATTAAGCCCAATGTCAAAAACTTACATGGCTTTATTGAGTTGCATTGAGTTTTATAATGAGGATTAGCCAACACCCAATTTAAAATGTCACCTAAAATGATGAATGTAGAAGAATAAGGTAAGTACCATCGTCGGAACAACTTTCATGAGGCAAATCATCTGGAGGCATTTTTGAAGGTTTCCCAATATATCCTTCAAGACAGAAGCCACAACCCGTTCCTTCTTGGAAAATAATCAATGAATGACAACAAAAACATTTGTGCAGCCAACCCAGATAGTTCGGATAAAGCTTAGTTAAATTTAGTGAACAACATCATTGGTAATATATATATATACACACACAATTCCGATAGAAATGTAAAGCTAAGAACAGAGAACAAACCATCATCTGTAGACCCATTACTAGCCGAAACCCTAGAAGCTGCAATGCCTTCTTCCTCTGACTTTTTATTCAAAAATTTTAAATCACTGAACAGAAAACAACATCAAAAACCCAAGAAATTAAAACCCAATTGGCAGCCAAGAAATGAAAGAAAAAGGTAAATGAATCTCAATTAGTTCTCAAAATGGCACATAAGCAAGAAAAAAAACATGCACATAACACAAACATTTCAAAATTCAATCCTCTTGCATTTTCCTCGATTTTCTAAGCAACCAAACAGAAAAAAAGAAAAGAAAAAAAGAAAAATAAAAAAGAGCATGTAAAAGTAAAAAAGAAGAATTGGGTCTGACCCTTGAGGATTTGGAGTCTGCTGAGACCGTTGTCTGATGAGAAGTGCGCGAGAGTGAGCCTCGTCGGCTTGCCTTTGGAGTGGTAGAGTTTGGACAAGTCGAAGAGAGCAGAGGACAATTGAAGATCCGAATGCGATGAATTCGATACCACCCGTTCAAGAAGAGAGATGGCCTCATCAACATCTCCTCTGTGAACGAGGTCGTCCACCGATTCGCTCCTTTCTTCTTCCATTTTGTTGCCCTTTACAAACTGGGTTTGTTGGGACTTTTGCTGGGTCAGTGTTGTTTAAGCAATTAAGCACGAATTGGTGTCAAAACGTTCTGTTTCTTGTTAGGAATTAGGAATTTATATAGTTAGCGGTGCTGACCCGGTTCGGTCGTGGAAGGGGCGGTGTGTGTACCGGACTCAGAATCTGTATTGATCGTTATTTTTTTTAACCTCTCGTGGTAAAAAAAAATAAAAAATTTAACCTCTTATGTGAATTTGATACACTGCCTTTTACAAATTTTGTAATTCCAATTACGGTTAAGTGTCCCAAAAAAAAAAAAAACATATGCAAAATGTGCAATTATTTCCATATTGCTTGGAAAACTTCTTACTATTTTTTATTTGTACAAATGTGAAATTTTGAAGAAATTGAACCATGAACTGATTAATGTACCCTTACAATAAAATAAAATATTATATAATATAGGAAATATATATATTTGTATCAGTGTATGTTATATATATATATATATATATATATATATATATATATGTCAATGAGAGACCGTGATTAGATAACCCTGATCTACATCAGAAATTTAAGGGAGCCACGGCTGGAATTCCTAGAGGTGAAGTTTGTAAAGTTCTTGGTGGTAGTGGCACTGGTGGTTGTTGGAGAAGAGAGGGGGTACGGGGGTTGTCGGTGCAGTCAGGGATGGACTTAGAAACTCAAGAGAGGAGGGTAATGCTGAATTTTTTAAAAATTTTCAAAAGGGACAAAGATAATATTTATGTTAAACTTTGTGGTTCAAAATTTGACAGCTCAACTCTAAGTAATGCATCACCCATGACGTCATCTTCTTGGCCTCCAAGTTTTCGTGATTAGCAATTTGTGGAGTTGTTTTTTGTCAGCCCATGTGCTTGATCAGCAAGCATAAGATGCTTTTGTTTGGTTATAAATAGCCTATGCCCATATGGTGTGGAATCATCCAAATCATCAGTTGGGTGTTTGAAATATCAGTTGGAGAGTGAGAGATTTTGGATGTATTTGGGTTTTGGGTGTGAGCCACTTTTGCCTTGTATATCTTTATTTTCATAGTGAAATATTGTTCTGTCTTCTCCCTGTAGACGTAGGTATAGCCGAACCACATAAATCCTTATCTCATTTTTGTGTGTGTCATTTTAATTTCTTGTCATTAATTTTTCTCTTTTGTTCTCAAAACTCCTATTCGATCCTTTTTTCATAACAAACTGGTATCAGAGCTCGGTTTGTGTATTGTGTACAGATACTATTCAAGTACTATTCACAAATACGGTACTATTCATCGAAAAAAAATTTAAAGAGTTTTTTTAGATGTCGACTAGATATGAGATTGAGAAATTTGATGGCAAGATTAGCTTCAGTCTTTGGCGCATTAAGATGCAGGCCCTGCTGACTCAGTAAGGTTTAAAGAAGGTGTTGTTCAGGAAGGACAAATTGTCAGAAACTATGTCCAATGAAGACAAGGATAAGGTCGATGAAAAGGCGCGCAGTGCGATTATTTTGAATTTAGTTGATGAGGTGCTGCGTGAAGTTATTGATGAAGACATGGCGGCAAAGCTATGGCTAAAATTGGAGAGTCTGTATATGACGAAGTCTCTCACTAACAGACTTTACCTAAAACTAAGACTCTACACCTTTCGTATGAAGGAAGGTATGCCTCTTAAGGAGTATATTGATAACTTCAATTCTATTATTATGGATTTAAAAAATGCAGATATTAAAATTGATGACGAGGATCAAGCCCTTATTTTGTTGTGTTCTTAGCCTCCATCTTATGAGCATTTTGTTACTACATTGCTCTATGGAAAAGACACTATTAGTATGGGGGATATCAAATCCTCATTGAACTCTCAGGAGTTAAGGAAAAATGTGTTTAGGAATTTTGGAGATGAACAGGCCGAGGGTCTATTTGTAAAAGGCAAAAGTGAGACAAAGGGTTCTGGTAGTAAGGGCAAATCTAGATCTCATAAAACTATGGAATGTTACTACTGTCACGAGATATGGCACATCATCAAGCGTTGTCCTAAACTAAATGTAAAGAATGGGAATGGCAAAGAGAAGGTTCAGGAAGCAGCTTCTGTGACAACTGCTACAACCAGTGATTCGAAAAGTGACGAATATATTATCATGACAACCTTATGTTCAGGTATGCCATTTAATGACAGTTGGATTCTTGATTCTGGTTGTTCGGTTCATATGTGTCCCAGTAGGGATTCTTTCTCTTCCTATAAAGAGATGAAAGGTGGTTCGATTTTGACGGCGAACAGGAAAGCTTTCAAAATTTTGGGAATTGGAACAGTCAAGATCAAGATGCACAATGGGTTGGTAAGAACATTGTCAGATGTGCGACATGTACCGGATCTGAAGATGAATCTTATTTCAGTAGGTGTGCTAGACTCCAAAGGTTACAAGGTTGTAACAGAAGGTGGAGTAATGATGATCGTGATGGATTCTCTTGTGGTGCTACAGGGCACCAAGGTGAAAAATTTGTATCTTCTTCAAGGGAATACAGTAACAGGTGGAGCTTCTACAGGGTCTCCTACAGTTAGCAGAAATCTACGTTCGGGTCTTGGCAAAAAAAGAGTTAGAAAGAGGAGTTACGATCCTAGTTCTTAAAAGGGTTATGAAGGGACTACACAACATGGTGGGAGAATGAAATCCGTTTTCAGATGGCAACCGAAATTACAGCAGTCCTTACAGGGAGGCAAACCTATGAAGACAGGTGTGATATTAACTTGCAATAATCTTGGTGGCAATGAGATAGTCCATTCGAGTGCCATTAAGATGCGGGGGAGGCAAGTAGTTGGTTACAACAGAGATGCGAGAAAAAGTCAAGGACATCCTATTCTCCACAAGGGTGAGAAGATGACTTTTTATTACCAGTCGGTGGTTTGTGAGCGGTTGGAGAAGGTTGCTGAAGGAGATATCAAACTTTGAATTTTTAAGGGTGTTTTTGGTAAGCGTTTACAGTTTGACAAAAATATTGGAGGTATGCTTGTGGCTGCGTAAGACATGCATGGATTGAAGAATGAGAGCCCGAGGGTTAAGTTTGAGCATGACTCAAGCTTAACTAAAATTCTCAATTAATTTGTTTTGTGGAGAAGACAGGTTGTTTGGCAAAGATACAGTGACTTATTCGGAATTTTTTTGGCCAAGGTGGAGATTTGTTAAACTTTGTGGCTCAAAATTTGACAGCTCAACTCCAAGTAATGCATCTCCCGTGACATCATCTTCTTGGCCTCCAAGTTTTCGTGATTAGCAAGTTGTTTTTTGTCAGCCCATGTGCTTGATCAGCAAGCACAAGATGATTTTGTTTGGCTATAAATAGCCTATGCCTATATGGTGTGGAATCATCCAAATCATCAGTTGGGTGTTTGAAATATCACTTGGAGAGTGAGAGATTTTGGGTGTAATTGAGTTTTGGGTGTGAGCCACTTTTGCCTTGTATCTCTTTATTTCCATAGTGAAATAGACGTAGGCATAGCCGAACCACATAAATCCTTGTCTCATTTGTGTGTGTGTCATTTTAATTTCTTGTCATTAATTTTTCTCTTTTGTTCTCAAAACTCTTATTCCATCCTTTTTTCATAACAATTTCATTACTATATATATCAAAATGATAATAATAATAATATAATAGTAAAAAAAAAAAAAAAAATTGCCCCCTCAGTACAACATAATTTCGTTCCTCATGCGGTGGTGTGTGTGGGTTTAATAGGTGATTTTATTTTTTCAAAGCAACCATACAAATTTTCAATGATAGCAAAAATTTAGTTACAAAAATATGGCAGCTAATAAATGAAAAGGAAAAAAACACATTTCTTGCCTTAAAACTTGACAAGAGTAAGCGTATGATCGTATTGAATGGTCTTTTTTGAAAGTCATGATGAGTTTTATGCTCACTGGATTAACTTTATTATGAATGTGTTTCAACTCTGTTAATGTCAATTGTCTTTAATGGTAATCTTGTGGGTTTCTTTAAACCATCCCGAGGCTTGCGACAAGGTAATCCTCTTTCTCCATACTTATTTATTCTTTGTGCTATAGTATTATCATGTTCTTTGCGGGTTACTTGTCAAAACCGAGTTATTTCAGGTATTAAAATTTGCAGACAGGCTCTAGAAATTTTCCATCTCTTTCTTGCAGATGACTCAAAATCATTTTCTGCAAAGCTTCCAAGTATGAAGTTACATCCATAAAAAATATTCTTTATAGATATAAGCATGCATCATACATCAGGTCAGCAAGTTAATTTCATAAAATCATCCATTTTCTTTTCTAAAAATATTACTCATGAGGGGAAAAAAGAAATATGCAATATTCTGGGCATTCATGAAGAAGGTCTGAAGAAAAAATATTTAGGCATGCCAGCGATCATTGGGAGATCTAAATGGGATATGTTTCATTTTGTCTATCAATGAGTGGTCGATCGTTTGGCAAGCTGGAAATCATGCTTTCTCTCTTCAGCAGGACGAGAGGTTCTTATCAAAGCTATGTTAAGTGCTCTCACGACCTATGTTCTGTCATGCTTTAAACTTTCATTTAAGCTTTGTTTATCTTTAACATCTATTATCCGTCGATTTTGGTGGGTTCCCAGAATTTTTCTAAGAAAGTATGTTGGGTGAAGTGGGAAGATCTTTGTACAAGCAATGGAGTTGGTGGTTTGGGTTTTCGTAATTTTGAAAGTTATAATGTGACACTTCTCGCTAAACATGGGTGGAATTTTCAGGTGTAGAAACAAGGGTTCGCTTTCCACCTTTTCAAAGCTAAATACTTTAAGAATTGTTCTTTTCTCCAAGCCTCCTTTGGGTCCAATATATCATGGGCATGGAGACGCATTTGGTCTACGTAGAGCCTAATAAAATAAGGAACCCACTGGATCATTGGGAATGGTCAATCTATTGATATATGGTTAGATAAATGGGTCCCTAATTTTTTAGGTACGCTTCCAAAGCTATCATCCCCAGATTGTCCCCAAAAGGTTTATGAGCTTATTGATCCTTATTCAAACAAGTGTAACATGCCTAAGGTGGTTAAATGGCTGCCCACTTCGGTTGTTAATCATATTTAGAACTGCCATTTTAGTCTCTTCAATATGGAAGATAAACAATTTTGGGCTCCGAACTCGAAAGGAAGTTTTCGGTTAAATCCGCGTATTATCTTGCTGTTAAAACCTTGAGCTTGGGTAGTTTTGTGCCTACTCCATCAAATGATGGTGGTCATTTACTAGGATCTTCCAAATATGTGTGGCGTGGAATTTGGCGTTGCAAAGCTAAAGAGAAAATAAAGCTTTTTGTTTGGAAATGCTGCAAAAATGTTCTTTCCGTTTGTGCTAACCTTGTTTCCTAAGGCATTGGTGAGGACCCTATATGTCAATGATTTGGTCTTGTAGATGAAACTTTAATTCATCTCTTTTCTCATGCCCCAAGTCTGTTAGTGTTTGGAAATTGTCGCCGTTTTGTTTTGATTTTGCTTCCAATCAGCCCTATTCTTTTCAAGTTTGGTGGGGGGACTTAATTTCTTTGTGGGGTCTTAAAGAGGAAAGGCTTAAAGCTCTTGGTCTTGTTGCCAATATTTGTTGGCAAATTTGAAAAGCTTGAAACTCTGTCATTTTCAATAATAAATGTTGGGATGATCTTCGGATTGTGAACTCAGCTTACTCTCTTTATTTGGAATTTTTGGAAGTTTTGGAGTTT